TGGTGGCACAATAGTTCATGTGTTTGGCTGTTAACTGAAAGGTTGGAAGTTTAACTCTGCCCAGAGGCTTCTCGGAAGAAAAGCCTGGTGTTCTACATCAGAAAAGCCAACCCCTGAAGATCTATGAAACACAGTTCTGCTTTGACAGACATCGGGTTGTCATGAGGCAGGTTCAACTCCATGGAAACTGATTGGTCATTGGACTAAGAGGCAAACTTATCCCGGACTGCATATAGAAAACAGCAGCACAAAAGTCGTTGAGAAAGAATAGGTAAAGGGGTAAGAGATAGCTAAGCCAGAGACATTTAAAAGAGGCAAATCAGCTACATCAAAACTGTGACAAGGTCAAGGATTGGGGGGCTAAGAAAGAACCAGAATATGTGGGCACATCAGGTGGTCCACGGTCCCAAGGAAGTGGTTACGTGTTCAGAAGTGGCAACGGCAACAAGAGAGCGAGACTCTTGTGGGCTGAGCATGAACGGGAGGCAGTGAGGCAGAACCAATAAAGGAGGGTCAGCTCACATTTGCTGATGATGATGGTGCCACAGAAGCAAGAAGGATCAGAGCGGAATTGGGGTGTTGTATTTTAAATGGCAAACCGGTGGGCATACAGAAGTGAGCCGGAGGAGAAGGTGAGTCAAGAGGTACAACAGGAACAATTGGCAAGACTAAACCTTTGGAACTCTGAAGAGCCGAAGCCTCCAAAAGCTGTTCTGCAGAGGATTTAATTTACAAGGCTTGACGAAAAGCATTCTTTACTCTTCTTGTGGAGGATGACAAAAAACAGGGGTGGAGTTAGCCCATTCCAGTGTGTATGCTCTAGAAGAGTATTTATCCTGTCACAAGGGGAACACTCAAATGCAGCACTGTAATACTCTGAGGACTGTCCCCTTAACTCTGCCATTGAACTCTGAGGGTCAGAAGCCCCACAGGGGATAAAGCCCCTGCTTGGATAAAGCATGAGCTCTTCCAAGAGAAACTTGAGAAAGGGACGCCCCATAGAATAGAAGTGTAGGCAAGTTTCCAAAGACAAACACAGGACAAAGTAGACACACGAGTCGCTGGAAGCATCCCAGAAGAAAGAGATGGGAGGGATGCCTAGGGGTTTGGAGAGCTAGGCAGGCAAAAGCTTCGCGTATAAATGACCCCATGGTACAGCAAAAGAACCTAAGCAGCGTTTGAGCACAGTCAGAACAGAATGCCACATGCAGCCATATTTATCTTCCCCATGGCTAATCATATGTGAGGCCTTCTCGTGGAACCCCGGAACATTTGCAACTTACTTTTATCCAAATTGGGAATGGGTTTGTGAAGGAAAAAAACAACCCTGCAAGATATTAAAGGATATTAAAGAATAAAAGATATATCTTTCAATGAAACTGTTAGGGCCTCTCGAACCACACAGCTTGAACACACCCACCAGTTGCTTAAAGAAAAAAAAAAAGCTCATCAAGCAATGGGTGAACATCTGTTTTTCATTACACTTGTGCTAGTGCTAAGAGAAAGCTGGAAAAAAGGAGTCCAAGGTTGAAACCCTTCCACCAAGAAGCCATTCTTCCGATTGAAAAGGAAATCCCCGCATACATTTATGAGGGAAAAAATACGAGAACCATAGTGCCTGTGCATTCTTGTAATTTTACATCACAGACAATTTAAAGACGATGA